GATGGGAGTGCCAGAGACAGTGCGATTGGCACAGGACAGAGCAGAGTTTAGGGCTGTTGTACATAGGGTCGCTATGAGTCGCAAGCGACTCGACGGCACACAACAACAACAACAACAACAACAACAACTTACCTGTGTGGATCTTCTCAACATTATCTCACTAATTTTAGTTGTCTACTGATATGAGTTCTCTTTTGTTCCTAAAAATGTGTTCGGTTTTGAGATTTTTGCATTTGCAACTGTATGATTTTTTGAATTACAGTATACAATTAATTACTATTGAAGGTGGAATTAGTAATGGATCAATGATTTGAAAAAGGTAGACTAAGCATATGGTCATGTAATTGTTCTTTTAACATAGAGTCAATATTTGGTTACTGTCTTCTGAAGCATAGTAAGGTTTTTTTACTAAATAAATTCATAACTTCTTGTTGTTGAGTCATAGCCTAGCCATTGCTGACCCTCTGTTGGATTTCTAAGATTATAAATTGCAGAAAGGAGATTGTACATTTTTCTCCTGTGGAGCTGCTGGTGGATTTGAACCACTAGAGAGGCGTAGCCTCTGGGTTAGCAGCACAACTCCCTATAGATTGTACCACCCCTGCTGTTTGGAGTTGTGCATTATGAGAATAATTTATATAAGAAACACACTGCAGAACTCCAAGCAGCAGGAGTGGCACAGACTCCTGCTCCTTGGAGTATCTCAGCAAAATACTGCTGAAGATCATTAAAAAACATCTGGAACAGTACATAGATAGGGAACTGGCAGAAGTTAAAACAATTTAGAAGGTGCCGTGGCACCAGGGTTATCATTAGAGTGTCAGATGGATTTTGGCTGAAAGTAAAGAATACCAGAAGGATGTCTATTTGTGCTTTATTAACTATGCAAAGATATTTGACTGTGTGGATCATAAGAGATTGTGGCTGACATTGAGAAGACTAAGAATCTCAGAGCACTTACTTCTTCTCTTACAGAACCTGTACCTGGGTTAGGAGGCTGTTGTGTGAATAGAGCAAGGAAGCACGGCATGGTTTGAAATTTGGAATAGAATGTGCCAGGGTTGTATTCTCTCTCCATACCTATTCAATGCTGAGCAAGTTATATGAGAGGCTGGACCCTCTGTCGAGGAATGTGGCATCAGAATTAGAGGGAGACTCATCAATAACCTGCGTTATGCCAGTGACACCTTGCTTGCTGAAACTGAGGAGGACTTGAAGCACTCATTGCAGAAGATTAAGAAATGCAGCCTTCAGTATGAATTACAGCTCAATGTCAGGAAAAGATTCCTACTTACTACAGGACAGACAGTGTCATGATGAATGGAGAGGGAATTGAAACTGTCAACAGCTTCATCTTACTTGGATCCACAAATAACACCCTTAATATGAGCAGTCAGGAAACAAGGAAATATATTGTACTGGGAAAATCTGCAGTTAGGGACCTCTCCAAATTATTGAGGAATAGTGATGTCAGTTTGAGGACTAAAGTGTGTCTGATTCAGGCCATAGTCTTTCCGATTGCTTGCTTTGCATCTGAGTCCTGGACAGTAAATAAGGATGACAGAAAAAGAATTGACAGCTCTGGGCTGTAGTGCTGAAGAAGAGCGCTGAACATCAAATGGACAGCCAAGAGAACAAACACATATGTTTTAGAGAAGGTGTACCCGGATTGCTCTTTGGAGGCAAGAATGATGAGGCTTCACCTAACATACTTTGGATATGTTGCTGGGAGGCGCTGTTCCTTGGAGAAGGACATGATGCTGGGCAAGATGGAGGATTGGCGAAGGAAAGGAAGATCCTCAACCAGGTGGATTGACATGGTGACTGCTCCAGTGGGCTCATGCGTGTCAGAAAGTGTGAGGATGGAGCAGGATAGAACAGGGTTCAGATCTTTCGTTCATAGGGTTGCTGTGAGTCAATTCTCGACTCAGTGGCACCTAACAACAACAACAAGGTACATCATCTCGAACTTTCATCTTTTCTAAGTAGAGTGAAAGTTTAAGAGCCTTGGAACAGTTTGGGTGCAGAGTCTTAGAAATTTTTTAAATTTTTTATTAAATTTTATTAATTTTAATGAACATTTGCAGAGATTTTGGGTTTCCATTCATTCATTGTTGTGCTGTTTTCTCCCCCTCCCCTCCCAGTTTGTTTCTCTTCCCCCCGCCTAAAAGTCTGTTTTAATTGTCCCATTGCCACAGTGCTCGTCAAAGCCAGTTCTGATTAATCTCCTTTGTCAGTGTGTCCTTTGCCATTCCTTATCACTGCTCCCTGAGAGAGACTTCACCCTGATTCATAAGAAACAGCGGACGGCATATTCTTTTCACTACTTCCTGCTGAAAAGGGACGCTGTAGGTTTCAGGGTGAAGATCTTCTCTCACAACTCTAAAGGGCCCCTTTGGCAATAGAAAACACATAGACTATTGTGGAGATTGATTTTGGAATTTAGATGCACTGATATCAATTGTGCTTAGCCATACATGTTCATATCCTTGAAGATGTATCATGGAATTGTTGAAGCCTAGAAGACGCAAATTTAATGAACAAGTTAAAAGTACATGAGTCAAAAATTGTGCTCGCTTCAGCAGCACACGTACTAAAATTGGAACCATACAGAGAAGATTAGCATGGCCCCTGCATAAGGATGATATGCTAATTTGTCAAGCATTCCATATTTTTGCCATTAACATTTTGGGGGGAAAAAAGTACATGAGTCAAAAATTAAAAGCAGTAATATTCCAAGTAGAGGTTCTAACGGTGGCACAAATCAAGTTACAGAGGCAAGGTAGTTCTTAAAATAAAAGGTTTATTGACTAGCACTTTGTCTATTATAGTATAAAGGTTAGGAACCACAAGATGTAGAGGCTCAACTTTCTCATTTATTGTTCTTAAGTCCTGGACCAAATTCCATCTACCACTGGGTTGTTTTACAGCTCAGAAGTCCACATACAAAGCAGCGGTGAAGTACGGAACTGCTTATGAGGTTTTCCGTCAATTCCAGCAACTAAGAAATAGTGAGAAGAGTTGGGACCACAGAAGGCTCTTAGGACCAAATAGTAGGCTCCTGTGTCCAGGAGAAAATGAATATACTTACCAGTAAAGTTAATGCTCACCCAAAGCTCTTCTGGGAAGATCTAAATCGTTGAAGCGTCCTCCTTTGTTTCCAACTGGGAGGTGGGGCCTTTCAGTCCTATCAGCCACAAGGACCTGATGTGGGCCACCCTTGGCCACGTGTCCTTCAGATCCACACTTAAA